ATATACTATCCTGGAGATCAATTTCTACGTCAGGGTCCAGTATAGGTTCAGTAGAGATAATAGTTTTGATAAATAGAGTAGCTTGTCTACTATATACTAGTTAAAAAGATGTATAATCAGTGGTAGCATATCTCTTGGTTCGGTATGCTAAGAGAATAGCAGATATGTGTATATCAGTTCCTTTAACCTTTGCAAATGATTTGCAAAATATTCTATTAAGACGTTCAACCATTTCATTAGTTTGTGAATAATATTTGAAAAGAACTTGTGCTTGATAAAGAACTTTTTACATAGTATTCAGATAGTTTCACTAATGAAGTTTTTTTCTTGGTTGGATAAAATTATCTTGGGAGTTTCTTGTCTACAGATAATTTCTTCAAAGATAAACTTTGCTAAAGTTTCTGCTCCGGCATCTGGTACAGCTCGGGCTTCTGGCTATCGGGTTAAATAGTCTGTTGCTACAATAATATAATGATTGTTCTGTTTAGTTATCGGTAGGGGTCTAATTAAGTCAATATTAATTTGTTCAAAGGCTCATCTAATTTGTATCAGATATAAAGGTTCTTTTCTTCTGCCTTTTTGTCTTTTCTGACATTCTTCACATGTCTGTATATATTCTTTAATGTCTCAATATATTTGGTCCCAATAGTATTGTTCAGCTATTTTGTAATACATTGTGTCTGTTTCTAAATATCCAGCAGTAGGGTGTTTATACATTATATAGAGAACTGGTTCTATTTCTGTCTATTTGATAACTCGTAAAGGTTTGTTTGGGTCTTTTCTATTTTTCTTATAAAGTAAGTGGTGTCTAATTTCAAAATATCGAGCTTGGTTAATTAATTGTTTCTTCTGATTCTTAGTAAAGTCTCTGGGAATAGTGTTCATATCTAGATACAGGTATAACTTGTAATACCGGTCTAGATTCATGATAACTTGGGTTTTTTGGTCTGAGTCTGGAGTCGAGAAAGAGCATCAATATTGGAATAGATTTGTTCAGGTTTATAGATAATCTCAAAGTTATAAAGTTGTAACTTGAGTATCCAGCGTCCTAACCTTCCTTTAGATTTAGCAGTACGTAACTATTTAAGAGCGTAGTGGTCAGTAATCAAAATAAACTTGGTAGCTCCAAAATATTTATGAAAATGTTCAATGGCCCATACTATGGCAGCACATTCTAATTCAGTGGCACCATAGTTCATTTCTTCTTTCTTTAGACATTTACTAGCATAAGCTACAAGGTGTTCTTTGTTATAACTATCAAGTTGACTAAAAGTAGTGCCAAATTCATAGTAAGAAGCATCAGTTGCTAGTATAAATACTTTATAGAAATCTGGGTATTGGAATATAGAGGCACTAATAAGTCTTTGCTTAAACTTATTGAAAGCTTCATGTTGAGCTTTAGTCCACTTATAGGATTCGTCTTTTTGTAGCAGCTGATTTAAAGGTTTTGCAATTGCAGAGAAGTTGCAAATAAATTGTCTATAGTATCCTATTAATTCTAGAAAAGATCGTAACTGAGTTACATTCTTAGGAGGTAGAATTTGTTGAACAGCTTCGATTTTCTCTAGATCTGGGGCAATTCCTTTAGAAGATATGATATGTCCTAGAAATGGTAATCTTTGTATCCAAAAATTACATTTTTTAATGTTTAATCGTAATTCGTCATGTTTGATTCTAGTAAAGACTTCACAGAGGTGTTGCAAATGTTCATCAAAGATCTTGGAGAATACAATAGTATCATCTAGGTATACTACTACAAATCTTTATGCAATCTTGTCATAAACTCGGTCTATTAATCGTTGGAAAGTCGTAGAGGCATTACAAATTCTAAAGAGCATGACGTTGAATTCATAAATTTCATAGTGAGTTACAAATGCAGTCTTTTCTTGGTCTCGGGAGTGTATAGCTACTTGCCAATATCCACTAGCGAGATCTAGTGTAGAGAACCAACATGATCTAGCGAGAGTGTTTAACATTTCGTCGATTCAAGGCAATGAGTAAGTATCTTTTTTAGTTATACTATTCAACTTTCTGTAGTTTACACAGAAGCATAATTTGCCATTCTTCTTTCGTACTAATACAATAGGTGAAGTTCATGAGCTATTTGACGATTGTATTAGCTTATTGTCTAGCATTCGTTGGATTTTCTCTTTAACAAATGCTTGTTCACTAGGAGGTATCGAGTAAGGTCGAGAATTAATAGGAGGTACATCTTCGGTATAAATTCGATGAATAACTAGGTTAGTTCGTCCTAGTTTATTAATGTCTGATGCGAATAGGTCTGCAAATTCTTCCAAGAGTTGTCTGAATCTTCTTCTTTTATCTTCTGAGAGGGGTCCAATATTTACAGAAGTTTCTTTTAGGGTTGTATACTTTTCATAAGGGATAAGAGTATCAATAGCATATACATATCTTGGAGTTAGTATAGAGTTATTAATGTCTGTGTTCTCAGGTAGTTTTCATCTTGCTTGGGATTATTTAAAAATTTGGTGATTCTGTAAGGGCAGTGAATTGAGCAGCTTGCTGATAAGCGTACTGGCTATCGTCCTTCTATAGTTGTATAAGCTGTTGATTGAAATTCTCAAAGGTTTCAACCTTTTGTTGCAGCTATGCAATAAGCTGACTTTGATAAGCTACTTGTTGTTGTAATTGTAGCAATGAAGATAAAGTAATGTCTGGTTCTAGGGTAGTAATAGGTGTACTAAAATTTGTTTCTACTACTGGAGTATTAGATCGAGATTCAGGTAGCAGGTTATTAGGTTCGGGTTCTTTGAGTGGAGTATCAGGGTTGAGGGCAGGCTGGTTTGGTTCTTCTTCTGGTATTTCTTCTAGATTAAATATAGGGGGAGGTACTGTAGTATAATCAGTACAGATTTCATTGTTCTGGTCAAGTTCACTTTGATGCTTAATATGCAGGCATTCTTTATAAAGGTCAACAGGATGGGTAAAGCTTTAATGAAGGTTAGCAAGGGCTAACTCTTTACAAAAGTCTGGATGGCTAATGTCGAAGGATTGGTCAAGAGTTGCTTGTAATTAGAACTCTTCATCCTCATTTAGTAAGTTTTGTTCAGCATGAAGGATGAGGCTTATTTCATCATCATTCCATGACTAATTAGTTTGGTCAGTCATCAGAAGTTCTAATGCTTTGGTTATGTCTTGGTCACTTTCTTACAAATAGATCTTTGCAAGTCAGAAGATACGTGTCTAATTCATTTCATATTGGGATCTGACACTTCTGGTAGAAGTAGTGTAATGTTGAATCCAGGTCTAGAGGTTGTAGTTGTAGTTGTAGAGGACATCATGGCTAGCTTTGTATGCGTATATATGTTCAAGGTTGCAGAATCAAAAGGTTTTAGTAATACTTTCGATATTATGCATCCTGGATTGAGTATCAGAATGCTGACAGATTTTGCAGGTGACAAGGATTCCTTAGTCTTTACTTTCAGTATAGAAATGAATACGTCTAAGGTCATTTCAATCCAATTCATAGTGAAAGTCTATATAGTATACACAGCATACTAATTGGTTATCAAGAACTTTGAGCCGTTCTGATCTTTCTAGGTTCTTGCATCGCAACAATGATGGGTCCGTTTGTTGCTATGATAGTAGGCTTTTTGGGCAGCTACTTCATTAGGATTACAGCCATACTGGTATGTCTTATTCTGTCTTTGTAGAGAATCATAGGTGCAGTCTACAACAATATGTTCAAATTCATCACATTCATGACATTTGTTATTAGGGCAGCTTTTATAAAGATGGTCTTGTCCACAGGTTCGGCAAGAAGTTCGTTGTAGTGCTTGTAGGGGGCAATGTACTGCAATATGTCCAATTCCTTTGCAACAGTTGCAGCAGTTGGTAGAGCATTCGGCAAAGAGATGAGCAGGTGAACCACAATTTTCATATATCATAGTGCACTGCCTAAAGTATCCCCCATTTGTAGTATCCCCCTTATAAGATACCCGGATATATTACATAGCATCTTTTTTTTCACCAAGAATAATACCCGGATACTTTATAATTATTTTTAATAGAAGTTTGTAAAAGACCCGGGTATTTACAGTATATATCATGTTGCAAGAAAATCGATTAGAATCCCGTGCGGCCCACACAATAAAATTTACTGTTTTTAAACATTAATACACTTGTTACATCTTTAATATATCTAGTACGCACTTTATTTTTTTCAATTTCATCCTGGCATGCGCATGCCTCTAATTCGATCAACAGTTTTGATCAGATAAGAACAAATTTATGGAAACGATATTATTATGTAAAACAATGTTTTCAAATTTCTGAAACCAAGATTAGATTTGTAATATTAAAAATAACTAAACTATTGTATGACTTAATATATAGCAAAAGTCGACTTGTATAAATAGCTTCTGGATTGTTTGATAATTGGGTCTTGCTAATTTAACCTGATCAATTATTAATCGCAATATTTTTTTTTTTAGCTAAGTAAACAATTTTTTTTTTTGTAAAAAAAAAAAAAAAAAAGTTTAAAAAAATCTAACCGTTTATATTGAGTAAATGCTTTATGCCAATTTCAATCTCTTTATTATAACAATAACCAACATTATATGTTCAGCCAACGTTTTCTATCTAGGAAGATTTTTGATAGAAATGAATGCCTTATTTATATTAATGTTTTTTGGCTTCAATTCTTTTACAATTTCTGCTATAATGTGCTCCAATTTTTTGATAATAAATAGATGCCTTGTTTTAACTACAATTCCATTTTAATAATAATAGCCAACACTAAATATAGCTTTAGTGTTTCCAACTTCAGTAATTATACCTTATATTCATCCTTTTTCCATCGTATCAGGAGTGTTATTACAAAAAATAAGACCTTGAGTATTATTGCATGAATTAATATGAAAAATAGGTCTTGCGCAGTCTTGTGACCTTTATAATTAAATTATCCACAGAAAAATTTTAATAATATTTAAGTAACTCCTTTCATATTCAAATTTATATAAAAAATAATGCATACCTAGTTAATCCCAATCTTGCACGACATTTAATTCTTCACCTTCCTCATAATGTTCATCATAAACTAAGCCGCCTTTGTCCGTATTAGAATCTTCCTCATCATTGCTTTTATCTTGACTTTCAATTCCTCTCCTTAGATTTGTTTCAATTATGACTTGTGGATAATCAAAAATGAGGTCATCTTCGGTTCTATCAGTTGCGTTTGAAATCCCACAATACTTGAACGATCTTCTAATCATATCAGGATCGATAGCCTCCTAAGCTTCCTTAACCCAAGTAGCAGCCAAAAGATACGAGGGACATTTCATTTTTTCTGATTTAGTATATTCCTTAATACCTTCATCGAACCATCGATCATAAAGCTTCCGCATCTATTTAAAAAAATATTTAAAAATGAACTAATAAAACAATTAATGCAACTGGACTTAAACTCATTATACATTAGAGTAACGCCAAGAGAAAACTAGACTTCAATCATATAAATTTTATATGATTAAAGTCTGATTTCTCTTTGCGTCACTCATTCTTAGACTTATATGATTTCCAATATCTCTTAATATTAAATTTAGCATTAAATGGATAACGAATTTAAACTTAAAATACAACTAGAAATTGGATATACAGTCATACCTAGGTTAAATCACCTCTTTTTTCTCCATATTTTTTAATTTTGTTGGAGATATAACTAAGATTGATATACAGTAACTCAATATATAAAACATATAAAAAAAGGAAATTTATTTTGTTTAAATATGGGGGAAAGAACTAAGATAATAAATAAGTGGGAATATACCCCAATAGAGATATGATCCAGATATGACTGTATAATTAAAAATGTAGAAATAAAAATAGATAAACATATAAAATAGTTGGTTTACTTTTGCTTTAAATGACTTATTCATATAGACATCAAGAGGTTGCAAGCAAGATGTTAGGCCACTAGGAATTAAGGCTAAATCGGTATTTTTTTCAAAAAAACGTTGTTTAACAGAATCCATTTTATGACCAGCAAATGAATCCAAGATCAACAAAGAATGTGGGTTATTTCCACATTGTGCTCATCTAGTCCAAACGTTCTCTACCCACCACAACATCTCATCTTCATTCATCCATCCTGAAGGGTTAGCACACACAATAATACCATCAGGAAAGTTTTCACGAGGCACATTCACTAACTTGAAAATAATTACAAGTGAAAGTTTAGTGCTATCAGCCAAACAAGCCAGCACGACGATAAAATTCAAATTTTCATGTCCGGTTGATGCAATTGATATAGTTTTGGTTTCTTTTTCCTCAATTGTGATCTTGCTTGTCATATTAAAAGCCATGGCAGTTTCATCCATATTAGCAATAAGCGACAAAGGGTAATTGTATTTACGCTGTTTGAAAAGTACGAGAGACAAAAACTCATTTTGTTCATTGGCATAATCTTCAGGAAGGCATTGAGCAACGGTTGTACATCTCCTATTTACTAAATTATTTCTTGACAAGAAACCATCTACCCACTTTTGTGAAAATTTATGGTTTCCAACTTCTTGGTATTGGTTCTGGTAACAGGATGTAGCAAAAAGAGAACAGGCCTTCGCTTGGATCATATACTGGCTAATGGTTTTTTGTTGAGATCTAGCATCTCAAAACCATTCAATTAACTCAGCTTCGAGTTCAGGAAATTTTGGCTTCGCTCCAGGCGTCAATTTTTTGACATGCGGTGCAACCTTCATAAGATCTGACTTTTTACTAATCCACTCCCGAAGTTGCTTCGGTTTTATTTCAAATTTATCGGCAGTTGAGCGTTTACTTTGTCCCTTTTCATGATATGTAATTATCATCAACTTCTTGCGGGCCGACCATGATCTTTTTTTTTTTTTGTTACTCGAGCACGACGAGCTTTGAAATTTCCACAGACCATTATGCGGACAAAAATCTATGTAAAGTATTATAATCGCGCTAATAAATTTATTAACGTTTATTATACCCTCAGACTAAAACTTAAATGATTCAAATAAACCTATACCTTACCCTAATCCTAATACACTAACCTTAAATCCACGGGTAGTATAACCTACTGGTACATTATTATAAATATATTTATATCATTTGCTTTTCTTTTTTTTTAAATCCTACATAACTTCTTTTGTACTTACGACTATACTACTATATGCAACACCGGACAAAAATTATTCAACTGCTTTGTTATAATTGCTGTGAATATTAGTGTGCTGGTGGTATTGGCTTTGTAGTACTGGCTTTGTAGTACTGGCTTTGGCAGTATTGGCTTTGGCGGATTGGCTTTGGCAGATTGGCTTTGGCGATATTTGCTTTAGTGGTTGGTTTTGGTGGTATTAGCCTTGATGGTATTGGCTGGACACCAGTAAAACCAGTATTAATAAAAGTGTGTTGGCGATTCAGTTATATTATCATTGTTTGAACAAAAAATTTTTTTCTAAAGATCAATTTTAGTAACTCATTGATTTTTATATTACCCGTATTATACTATAATATGTTGTGTAAGATATCCCCTATATAAAATATCCCTGGCACATAATACCCCCAACATATAATACCCCCAACAAGAGATCCTGCCCCACAAGAGACCCATTACTGAACAAGATACTCACAGGTCTTTTGTAAGTTTTTTACTAAGGAGTTTGTATTAGACCCCAGGTCTTTTAGGTAGTGCACTATGGTACTTAAGAGAGAGTTCGAGTATGATGACAAGGTTGATAAATAGTCTAGTCATTATGGTTATTGTCTGTGTCTGGGTATAGTAGGTTAGGCAGGTAGTAGTTGATCATTCTCATAGATAGTAGGAGTATAATACTTGTGATTCTTCTACTTAAAGGAGTAACAGCTATTCTTCTAGTATAACTGGCTTCGACTTTCTTGGACCAGTTATTTCCAAGAAGTAAGGCATAAGATGTTGCAGCAACTACTTCAACAGTAATAGAGATGGTTGCTCCTTCGATCTGGATAGGCAAATCTCGAATGATTCCTAGGGGTCAAGAGGAAGTTCTAGTGGCAGAGATGATAAGGCTAGTGGAGGCTTGTTCGATTTTGAGTCCTAGTTCCTGGACTACTTTGTAAGCAATCATACTAATAGATACACCGCTATCTACAATAGCTTGGTAAGGTTTGTTTCTAATTTTGATGTTGCACTTGACAGGAGTGGTGGTTGGTTCAGAAGTGATAGCAAGGAATTTTGCTTCTTGACTTAGATGGGCTGAGAGAGCACTTCAGATGGAGGGGTTGTCCAGTAGAGTTTCCCATTTCTTTTGGCTCATAGGTGAAGAGAGTTTAAAGTTCTGGTCAAGGTAGTTGACATCACGGTGGTAAGGAGAGGGTGAACGATAAAAGGATTGTCTAGAATTATCGGTATAGAAGTAGTATCTATCTTATTCTCGAGAATAATCTTGATATTGAGGATAACCATTGCGGCTTCTAGATCTATTCCTATCTCTAGATCTACTTCTGTCAAAAGATCTGAAGTAATTTCTGTCTCGACTTCTAGGTCAATTATTTTTTCGATTACTGTAACGATCTCGGCTTTTGTCTCGTGATCGCTATTGATCCTTCTGTTTGGATGGCACTGAGCAACGAAATGTCCAGTGCATCCACAATAATGGCAGGTAGATGGTTGTCTGATTCTATTGGCAGTGACAGGATTTTTGGCATAGTGTACTGAGGTAGGTGCAGGTTTCTGTTGAGCAAGGTTAATACTAAAGTGAGCTATCTGATTGGTTAGTTGTTTAATAGCTTGGTCTGTGTCTGTAGTAGATGAAGAAGATATAAGTTAGCCATTTTCCTAATTTCGAGCAGCGTCTATAGTGATATTCAAGTTAGCAGGTTCTCCAGCTTGAACTCCAATAGCATATTTGGATCAAAGTCCTTGGATAAAAAGTTAAAGAACAAAATCAGCGAGAAAAGCATTAGTAGAGTCTATGCAGGCTTGTAACTTCTTGAACCGGGTTACATAAGTATCGACTGAGTCTGTTTCTTGCTTGATATCGACAAATTGTTTTTGCTACTTGATCTTTTGGTTGGTAGAACTGAACTTAGTTTTGAAGAGATGATAGAAGCTTCGATCTACAGCATGATCATTTTTAAAAGCATTGGGGGCAGGAGCTAAACTTTGGAACCATCCTGCAGCAATTTCTTTTATATAGGCTGGGACAAGAGCAAGTTGTCGAGCAGCACTCCAGTTATTAGCAATAGCAGCTTGTTCAAATTCTTCTAACTATTCTACAGGGTCTTGTTTTCTATCACTAGTAAAGAAATCAACTTTGAGGAGTGACTTTTTGCTATCTGGTGCAAAAGCATTAGCCAGGTTAGTCATAGCTTGAGTAGCATTGTTGAGGACAGCGTCAACTATGTTTACAGGTGGTACTACTAGTAGAGGTGTTATAGATGGTGGTGGTGGTAAGTTAACTTCAGGTTGTTCTGGAGATAATAGATTTGCTTCAGGTGGTGGTAGATTATTATCAGGTTGTTTTTGATGATTTTCTGGTAGTTCAAAGGTTTAGGTTAGAGTAAAGATTTCTTGAACAATACTATTAGAATTAGAATTATTTTCTTGATCTAGACTCTCTGGAGGTGGTACTTCTTCTCTTTCTAAAGTATATTCTTCTATCTGTGCTTCTGGAAGAGGGACAAGGTCTACTTTAATAAATTGTCTTTGAGGTACTTCAAATGTATTTTGAAGAAAACGTTGGTGAAGTTGATAATGTGAGTTATCTGTTTCATTTTGGTAAGAAGGTAAACTAGGAGGAGATGAGGTCCTTAGGATAACTTGTTGATCTCAGTAGCTGAAACTATAATCTTTGTCTGGTTGATATTGTATAGAAGTTCTTAGATTTTCAAAATATCTTTCGTATTGTTCTGGTTCCTCATATCCAAAACTATAAGCTAGGTCAATGTAGTGGTCAAAGACGTTTTGATATTCAAAGTCGATAGTAGGTAAAGCAGTGAGGTGGGTATATCTGATAAGTAATGCAAGAGCAATTTCTCTAGAGTTTTCAATATCTTGATTGTATTGGCAACTAAAAATAATATCTTGGATAGAGGTGCGAATAGAGGGTCAGTCCCAGATTACAGTTAAATATCCAAAATTTGCAGTAGTTTGGGAGATATAAGAATAAGCAGAATAGATGTTGGAATACCAATTCCAAAATCTTTTAAAATTACTTCGATAGAAAGTATGAGAACTGGTTCTTGGTGGTGGAAATCGAGCTTGACAAGAGAGATCTGGGTTTAAGGTTTGTAGAGTTGTATAAGAAAGAGCAGGGTTTTGGGTATATTTGTGTTTGTGGTTTTTAATATATTTGTTGTATAGTTGAGTAACTTTATCAGTTATAGAGTAAAGTCCAAAGCCTATATCTGTAGGCAAAAATAGGAAAGATAATAATAATAATGTTTCTTGAGGTTGGATCCTTACATCT